ATAACAATTTTCAGGCAAAATTGAAATATATTCACTATTCACATCGGGAGAATGACAACAACAAAAAAATAATAATAACCACTAAATCCTAAATCAAGTTTAGCAACAAATTTCCAAATAAAATTTGTTGACATTACTTATTCGATATTTAGTAATTTCTAACTTTTTTTTTTGTCATTTTCCCATTTAAATATGTTTTAAAAAAAATCGCTCCTCATTTTCATCTCGCTCCAAATAAACCGCCCGGTCGGTTTATAGCAGAATCATCAACCCAGTGCCGAGAGCGAAACATCCAATCCATAAAATCGAAGTACAATTGAGAATCTTATTCGCCAATGCCGCCCCAAAAAGAAATTTACAAAACAATAGGCTAGCCATCTAAATAAGAAACATAGCATTAGCCATTGCCTCCGAAGTCATTAGGAACCAGGCTGACAGATCATACATGCACCGTAAAGCAAAAAACACCAAAGAATCATTAGTAAAACACAAATAAATTGACAAATATACCCCAGATACTGAAGTGCAACAAAGAAATTGAACGACGCACACCAAATTACAAGCCATGTCAGTCGAGGTGCTGTGAAGAAAAACAGTTAAACAATAAAAATCCATTCTCCAAAGCTCGTATCATTAGACTGACTATACCAATCCATTACTGGCAACAAACTAAATGAAGAAGAAATAAACTGCGTGAATACTTTCAGAAAAACAGAAAAAACTTAGCTCAACAGTAGTAGATCTACCTCAAGCTGGGAGAAATACTGGAAGCTCATATCTTGCCAAACTGCAGCTCCAAAAATGCATCTCTGCATACTTCGGAACTCTGCTGCTGACAAGAAGATCCACGCGAATGCAGATGGCGCATTGTCAATGCATCTAATTATTAGAGACAGGTAAACATCTTCCGGTTAACGAGGGCCAGCTATCCATACTCGAAACTAAATAATGAATGCTCACGTTAGGCTTACACCAGGTTACACAAAGACCCGTTAGGGCCTGCTAGACACAGATTCATCCCAATTACCACACACAAGAACAAGAGTGGACGCACAGCCAAGCCTTGAGGCCAACACACACAGAATGCCCCACCTTCTCTGCCTTCAAATCCCTCGCCATAGTTGTAATTATTAGGCAAATAGTATATACTGCCACAAAGAGCATCTAAGCAAACTACTGCTTACATTTTCGATACCCTACAACCACCACCACAAGAAGCCACAGCAAGCCTTATGGGGATTTTCAATATGCTAAAGAACATAAAATTCACAACTAGAGATATTAAATAAACTTACATGGTTGTGAACATCAATCTCAAGAACTTGAATAAAACTACAACTAAACGAAGCGTGTAAAAGAACTTGCCGAAACTAACAAACAATATCTTTAGCAGACAGTTGCTAAATACCGAGAAACATTAGGGAATGGCGTGCGTGATGATTTGCATGTTTGTTATGATGACGCTTTTACGACATGGTTATTTATTCAATAAAGGAAACATATGAAAACAACAGGCAATTGGAGAAAAATAGGGAGATGACGCTGAACATTGCTTGCTTGCTGAAATCAACGGCCACTAGTGTGAACTTCAGTATAATTCATCAATCAAACTGATGCGGTTAATAGAATATATTTGACAGATTGCATCATTCTCGTTGTGAATTCAGTCACCTACCTTATGCATACCTTGTGCAGGCTACACAATCACTCGTGTTTACACGATATAGAGTGTAACCTTAGCTTTAGTGTTTGAGCATCATGCCATAGGTCACGGGTGTGCGGAGTTAAATCCGAGGGCAATTGAAGGAACGTGGAAGAAAAGATAAAAGTAAAAGCAGAGAAGAGAGACGAGAAAAGAAAGGGGAGGAAAAAAAAAAAAGGGAGCAACACACGCCACCTGGGAGGAGAGCCGGGACGAATGAAAAATTGATCCCGAGTCGTCTCCCCCCAAAAACCAAAAGAGAATAATTCTATTAAGATGGGTGACCTGCCATGCAAGCGCACCTGCAATGGCAAAGGTCCAGTAACAAGGAAGAAAACAACAGAACAAATACCTTCTAGATGCATGCCTTACACACCTATCACACACACACGCCTCAGCAACCAAACCCTCCAAAGATCAGATCCAGAAGTTGGATGACATGTTATTATAATAATGGCCCATCGACAAAAAGTTGAATTATTAAGAACATTATGTATGAAACTTGAACCCTTTCGCGGCCAACAAACAGTGATGCAGCAAACGCGTTTACTGTTGAATTCCAAGCGCCACCGCCCCTGCTGTTCATTCATCATACCCATACATGACATCAAGATCCAATCCTCCATTAACCGCACAACCAGATCCTGCCAGTAATGAAAGGCAAATCTAAGAGAAAACATGCAAAAATACCAAACCTCACAAGCCTCGAACATCAAGATCAAAATTATAAAACACAGATCTAGCGTACCCTACTAGGCACGAGAGTGAGATCTCTGAACTAGTGCAGTCCAATTTCAACGTACCCACACAAGCACAGGCTCACAAGGCATGTTCCTCCTGACCGGCAGAATCTGTGTTCTAGACTCGAAACGCTCAAAAAAAGAGACTGCATCTGGAGATTAAAGATGAATTTTTTCATAGAAATTGGGATCTAACTGTTGCCAATTAACCCTTTCAGGCACGCGATCCACTTGTTCCCGGCGAGAGGGAAAGGCTACAGATCAGGCCCCAGGAGCAACCATCGCAGCTAGGGTGATCATTTTTATATGAGAATAGAATCCGATCAACGGCTGTGGGGGCAAGAAAAGAATCAACGGCTGTGACGTTTTCGTAGCAAGGAATGGGGGCGGTGGTTCAGGATATTATTTCTGATGCTAAACTTCTGATTTATAAGGATTGGGTAGTGCAAGTTTCCACTCTCACAGGGAAGAAAACCGAACTGCGTATTTCCTGACTGGATATGCTCATGCTTCTACTTGTATTCCTGATCAAGTCCGACTTCTATGTCAGAGGCGGAAAACAATAAAGGAGTTCTAATGTCTCTTATCTTGTTTTGAGTAAGATATCCAGTTTTCATTCAAGAAGTGGGCTCTCGGCTCCATTTCCATTATATTTTTTAACGTTGCCTCAATGCAGGGCCGCTTCAAATTTATTTTTTTATAAATTATTAGAAAATTATTATAAAATAAATTATCAATTTTAGGCTGCAGTAGTGAGAATAAAATAAAGTAAAAAAATTGTTTAGATCACAATTAAATAACTAAATTTAGTTTGTAGGATGATTAGAATTAGTATGATTTTTATTAAATAACTTTTTAATCATGATTTACCAAATACGAGATGGGTTTTGTCTCGGATAATGTAAAATATGACTATAAATAGCTTTAAGTGGCTTTTTTCAAGGAAAAATGACTTACAACTAAACATGCTCACATTTGCTCTCTAAAAGTTACTTTTATTCTCTTCAATCACTCAACCAAACATACTCTTAAAAAGTTTACATTTTGTCTAAAGAGTTTAAAACTGCAATAAAAGTTTAAAATGTATTTTATAAAATATTCAATCTGAATCTAGTGTTGATCGAATATTTTTGTTTTTTGGGTGGGAGGGGGGCGAAGGAGAAAGGATCAGAAGAAAAACTGAGATAAGCTTTACCCGAATTTTAAAGCTGCTGTTTCATTCCTATAAACAACCTCCATTGCCTCACTGGTTATCTTTTCCATACCTCATGGGGACTTTCCTAGACTATACCTGTTTAAAAATACCATGGCATGTGGATCTATTTATGCCTATAACTGAAGCTACAAAAATGGTTGAATCAATGACTTTTTATTTTGGACAGAGGGTTGAGTCAATATTAATATGTCAATAGATATATCTTATGGAAAGTCATACAATTACATGCACATTTACTTGGGGATGTGCGCGTAGACGAAGGGACAAATGAAGTCCATTTTCCATGAAAATGGGATAGTTGTTTCGTGCCTTGCGTTGTTTCATTTATTCAGGAAACGCCATTTACTGACCCGAAGGAAAGAGTATGACTTCCAACAATTGGCTGGAAAATAGATTCCTTCCCCTTCTTTTAGTTTTACTTTGTCTTTACTTACCTCATTTTTTACTTCCTATTCTTTTCCATCAAGCTCAATTCCTTTAAAGAGCTGAAGCCTTGGTCCTCGAAGCAAAATAATATTCCACAACGATCCACGGTCCCCTGAAGGCCTTTCAAAAGTGCTTTGCTATAACATCGACAAAAGCTTTTTAAATTTCTGCCCCCGCATTTCATAGAGGAGACTATCCTTTTCTTAACATGAAAGCATTCGAGTATACGTGAAAAGTTAGCCAAGGATTAGGGAAATGTGTAAATTAAAGGTGAAAAGGCATATAAGTTATACAACATGGCCTGTGCACATGATAGAATGAAAAACTTACATAGTCAAAATAGTTCACGCGCATGTACGTAGTAAGTAGTATTATTATTAACATGCACTACAACAATAGTGTAATCAAACATCTGATATTGACCTGCTTACAAATTGCACGGCAATCAAAGCTCTCTTTTCTCCTGCTTCCCTTCTGTTTCCTTTTTCTTGACGTCAGATTAGGAACGACGAATATGGAGCTTGAAGACATGCTCCTCATATAGCCTTTTTCTTATTTTTCTTTTGTACTATAAAAGGCCATACGATCTTAAATGTTAAACACGAGACTACTCAAGGTAATTCCTTTTGAGATATTCTTATAACTACAGCAATCATAACCGTCACAAAAAAGGACTGCAACATAATTTTCAATTACTATCAATTTTTATTTTGTTTGCTATTTGGAGAAACGAAACGTAGAAAAGAAAATCATCTTATGGCCCTTTGCCAACATCAAGCAGCCCATTCTCTTAGGCCAAGCTTTGGGTTTACTGGATTCGCTTTCATATATAAGCTATCGCTATCCTCCTTATGTATAAATTCCTTTGTATCTCCTAGCCACTCTCCCAAAAGCAAAAGCAGGATACTCTTCTGCCATGGCACTTTTCTTCCTGTACTCTCCTACCTTTGCATTTCTCGCCCTCTTTCAGGCGTTTAACCTTGTATGTAAGTTTCTACCAGTCTTCTCACCTCTTGGTATTTATAATATCATTTCAGAATTTCTAATTTTTATCCCTTTATGCACGACTCACAATGGTATTCAAGTTTGTGTCTTTCTGGGATTTTTGTTATGGTCCTTTACAGGTCTGGCATCTGACATGAAAGTTTTTCGTCATTGAATTTGTTTTCAAAATTTCAATCTCATCATTCAATCTTCTCTTGTTTATCTTTTGTTGTTCTTTTTTCCTCCCCCGTCATGAAAGAAAAGCGAAGACTTGTCTTTAATCTTGATGGTCACTTTTACACTTTTATACATAACTGAATTTGTCTTTCTTTGCAGATTGCCAATCTTATATTGGTGTCAACTATGGGCAGGTCGCCAATAATCTTCCCCCACCTTCAGCTACTGCCAAGCTTCTTCAATCCACCTTCATAGAGAAGGTCCGATTGTACGGATCAGATCCTGCCATAATCAAAGCCCTCGCCAACACCGGTATAGGAATTGTCATTGGAGCAGCAAATGGTGACATACCTGCTCTTGCTTCTGATCCCAACTTCGCAAAAGACTGGATTAACTCCAACGTGATCCCGTTTTACCCTGCTAGCAATATCATCCTCATCACGGTAGGGAACGAGGTCATGACCTCTAAAGACCATAATTTGATCAATCAATTGCTACCGGCAATGCAAAATCTCCACAATGCCCTAAACGCCGCATCTCTGGGCGGAAAGATTAAGGTCTCCACCGTACACTCCATGGCGGTGCTGAGACAATCCGAACCTCCATCCTCCGGACGGTTCCACCCGAGCATGATGAACGTCTTAAAGGGATTGCTTAGGTTTAACAATGACACCAATTCGCCCTTTGCAATCAATCCTTACCCATACTTTGCATACAAAAGCGATCCGAATAGGCCTGAGAACTTAGCGTTTTGTCTCTTTCAACCAAACTCAGGCCGGTTTGATTCAAACACAAAAATCAAGTACGTGAACATGTTCGACGCTCAGGTTGATGCGGTTCGTTCTGCTTTGAACTTTGTGGGGTTTAAGGACGTGGAGATCGTGGTTGCCGAGACTGGCTGGCCTTACAAAGGAGACAATAATGAGGTTGGTCCAAGTCTTGAGAATGCCAAGGCTTATAACGGTAACTTGATTGCTCACCTTCGTTCCAAGATTGGGACGCCATTAATGCCAGGGAAATCAGTGGACACGTACATCTTTGCGCTTTATGACGAGGACTTAAAGCCTGGGCCAACTTCTGAACGCGCCTTTGGGCTTTTTAAACCTGATCTGACCATGACCTACGACGTTGGACTTATCAAGCACAATAACCAGGTAACATTCTGCTCCTTTCGTAGCGGGGAAAAAAAGACAAAACCCTGAAAAGGAACTAAATAGTCCTAAAAGATGACATTAACGATATGCTTTTTGAATGAAGGTTCCTAATAATACAAAGAAATATGCATGGTGTGTGCCAAAACCAGGCGCATCTGACGCCCAGCTTCAAGCAAATTTGGATTATGCTTGTGGACATGGGATTGATTGTAGCCCAATCCAATATGGTGGGCCTTGTTTTGAGCCCAACACAGTGATATCACACGCGGCATATGCCATGAACCTCTATTACCAAACTTCGGGTCGCTATCCTTGGAATTGTGATTTCTCCCACACGGCCATGTTGTCATCCAGTAACCCTAGTAAGTTGGATCCAACTAGTCTAATTTATGCGCCGTAATTTTCTATAGCTTGTTGCCCGAATTAATCACCATTTATCCCTGGCTATGTGTGTTTTGTAGGTTATAATAATTGCGTTTATCCAGGGGGAGGCATCTAAAAATGAGGTTTCCTTGCTTTTGTGATTTGAGAATGAAGGGGGTGTTGTGAAAATAAAAGTAAAAAGCATTTAATAAGAGAAAAAATTGCAGGAGAGGTGTAGATAATTGGAGATGAGAGCAGTGGAAGAAAAGATTACCATTCATTTTTAAAGTCTTATCATAATAAATGTAAAGCAGCGGAATATAAGGAAAATATAAATTTTGTGAGCGTATATCCTCGCAAATATTATACTAGGTGGCCCCTTTTAACTACTCCTAATTGATGGACGAGAAATTGTTTAGCGTCTGCTAGTGGAAGCGGAATATAGACGCGTGGATGTGTGCAGGGAGAATCTTCCTCTTTTGGCGTTGTTCTTTTTCATTTATTGCCTCGCAGTAAATTAATGTTTTCTTTCATATATCAAGTTTGACCCATACCTGCGATCGTCTTCATGCCACGCTTCACAACTGATATATGTGTTGCTTAAGCTTTGCCAGTAAATCATGAGTCAATTCAGGGGCAGAGGCACGTCTTCAACCCAAATGAGTACTCCTTCCGTCATCCCATCCACAATTACACCCACACACATATTTAGTATATGTAAATGCAACACTTCTACTTTAAATATGTCCCGCACGTCATCGTTTAAAATTTATACATTACATATGATGTTTTTTTTAATAAAATCCGAAGGTCTGTCTAATACTACCTCTGGTTCTTAATATAAGATATTGTTTGATTTTTATTTGGGTCTTAAATATAAATCCTAATCCACTTTGTCTCTCATATTTATATTTTTTTTTCAAGGTAATCCTTCTAACAATAGTAGTTCTAACCAATACACTTTATTAATAAGAATATTTTATGAAAGATTACACCTATTTATTACAAATAACTAGCTTATGATTGTAGTCTTCAAATTAGTCAACTAGCTCTTATAATTAAAACCAAAAGTAGTATTTTTGTTCTTTTTCTTGGTCAACGTCTAATATTTTTGTTTAGATCATCAAAATGCAATAACAACGAAAACATATTAAAAACTTTATCATTTTTTATGGTTTACTAAAATTAAAACATCAGTGATTTGTTTGCCTACACAGAAACATCACACGTGTAGTTTCAAGTTGCATTATTTTTAAATCTCTACAAACATTTTGGTGGCAAAAATAAAAAATCTCTACCGACATTTCATTGGAGTACTTATAAAAATTTGAATATCTAACGTTTTTAAGTCCCAAAATCGTTTTAAAATACTAATCAGGTAATCTTGATAAATATTTAAAACCTCAATGTAATATAAATATTATTTTCCAAAAATTTAGCCCCACGCTCAATAAGCTGGTTCTGTGTTGTTCAGTGTCACGTTTAAGGTCATTGTTAATGTGATTAGGGTACATTTATAAATATTTTTGAACATCTCATTAATGATTAATTGCTAATAATGCATCACACGTTTAGGAATGATAAAAAATCCTGCGAACCAACCCATAATGAATAAGATCACCATAAAAGAATACTAACAATAAATATAATACTAGTACAATAATATAATATGAATATCCAAGACAGAGGTGAAACGAATCGTCTCGAGCAACTGTGTTGGAAGGCATGATCATTAAAATTGTGCCATGTGTGCTTCAAAGAAGGAAAGCAAGAGAAATAGTGGAAAATGCCTCACGGAGCCTATCCTGAGCCTCAGCACTCAAACCCCGCCGATCCCCGGGTTCGATATTCATATCGGAAGTGAGAACAAGAAATAAATCAAAAGTTTGGAGATAGGAAAGATATGGCGACGCGAGAGAGGGAGAGAGATCTAGAGCTCCTCATTCCTGTCCCAGGAATCTCTGAGACTGACATAGGATCCTCTAAATCATCTTCCGCTTCTTCTCCCACTATAATTTCCACACATCACCACTCCGGTCAAGAGGTTTCGTTCACTTTCTTTTTTCATTTTCCTCTTGCTGTATTTTGATCCACATTTAGTTTCCTTATATAAATTTGATTCCCTTCCTTGCGTAGGCATTTTCCAAGGTAATTCGCAGCTGGGCCTCGAAGAAGTTTATGTCAGGATGGTATTTGCACTCTCTTTTTAGGGCAAATTTTTAATTGATGATTTTGATGTTTGCATAATTTTTAGCTCAAGCGAAGGTTTTGCATTGAGAATAGAAATATTATTGCTGATGGAAAGAATGAAACACTAGCAATTTGATATCTACAATGCTCCTGCATGTGTTTTGATGTTTAAATCATTGCTCGCCATATTTTTCTTAAGAATTGCCTTCAACACCAACTCTCATGTCTGGAGTGTAATGTGATGTGCAGTGTCATCCTCCTTCCTATGGCTATAACATTCTATATCACTTGGTTTTTTGTCCGCTTTGTGGATGGTTTCTTCTCCCCTATATATAATCATCTCGGGATCAATATCTTTGGTAAGTTATTGTTATTGTCTAGGTACTCAAAGCTTACGATATTAAATCACAACGACACAAATTATGAATCATGTTAATATGATCAAAATGAATTACCAATAGGTCTCGGATTTGTTACTTCCATCACTTTCATCTTCTTAGTGGGTGTTTTCATGTCGTCATGGGTGGGAGCTTCTGTTCTCACCCTCGGAGAATGGTTCATCAAGAAAATGCCTCTTGTAAGCTACATCTATACTGCCTCAAAGCAAATAAGTACTGCAATATCCCCAGGTCTGCCTATCCCTGTATATCCTTCCGTATGCTTTAGTGCCTTATTGGTTTGGCTGAGGAAAAGAAAGGGAATAAGGGAAATTTAATGCATTAATAACCAAATTCTACAGATCAAAACTCAAATGCTTTCAAGGAGGTTGCAATCATAAGGCATCCGCGTGTTGGTGAGTATGCTTTGGGGTTTATTACTTCTACGGTCATACTGCAGAGGAACTCAGATGAAGAAGAGCTTTGTTGTGTTTATGTTCCTACCAACCACTTGTACCTTGGAGATATTTTTTTGGTCAACCCAATTGATGTTTTGAGGCCTAATCTGTCAGTTCGAGAAGGGATAGGTATGAGTTATTTTATCGGACAATTCAGAACAATTATGACATGTGGTTCTTCAATATCTAAGTGCTCATATGTTGTACAGAGATTGTCATATCTGGTGGTATGTCAATACCTCAAATATTGACTACCATGGGCTCTAAGGCTACCCTTGCAAGAATGGGTGGCTTTGCGGGATCAAAAGTATAATGGTATATTCTGCACCAAAGACATATTTATGTGCATTTAAACTAAACAGCAATTAAGATTTCCTGTTTGTATTTTCTTTCAGGCTTGCCTTGCAAAGTCCAATATTAGTAAAGAGACAAGGAGAAGGATAAGCTTCGATTCATGGTGCCTCGTGGAACGAGCTAATAGCAGGCTCTTTCTAACGGACTCATCACGTTTAAAATAGATGTAAATTGACCCATTACCTCTATTTGTCCTCCATAGCCTTGAAATAAAGGAAATACAATATAGACGCGAAAAGGTTTTCCTGCAGTTGTAGTTCTCTATTTCTTTTCTAGAGCCCTGTCACTGCTAGTCTGCCACTGCCCTTTTTTTTATTAAGCTCTCATTGAGTTTTTGCAGTAAATATATCTGTCTTGATTAATGAGAGTAGTAATAAGGAAGAAAAGTGGAAAGCTAGAATTTGTACTTTGAAGCATGGGTTCCATAAGCTTCATATTTAGCTTCCTCAGGTAATCTATGGTTCTGTTAACTTGTTATGCTTTCCTTGTGAGATTATCTTGGATTCTAAATTTTTTTTGGATTTGATCAATTACCAGATAACTATTCGATTAAGATGTGTGAAGTATTTATTTATGAAACTCTGTACAGGGCTTCCTTTTTCTGGGTGAGAAATGGAAGATGTGTGTTAGGGATGTGCATAACGCCCGCATGCTTAATAAGCTCACCCGAGCACACAAAAAAAATGCCCTGTCCAATCCAGCCCAACAAAAAAATTGTCTGAACAAAAATGAGCATTTTCGGGCCGGGCTAATTCACGGGCGGGGCTGGGCCGTGGATAGGGTATGCTGCCCTGCCTATTTGGTCCTACCCGAAAAAATATATAATTACATATGTATTATAATGTATAGTATTATATTATTTTAAGTAATTAACCCTTTTATTTTGGCTAAAAAAATTTGGTAAAATTAGAAAAAATAAAAGGAGCATAAAAATTATAATCATATAAAAGAATCAAATATCAAAATATAAGATTAAATAAGTTAAATTTCCTTCTTTTCCTCTTACCTCTGATTTTTTAAAACAAAAAAATAAAAATAAAACCACTTTTCAATTCTTGTGCTTTCACATGGCTATAAAAATGCACCAATTTTATGAATGAACTAAAAGATTAAACTACAGATTTAGCTCAGTTATTAAATAATTTTTTATCTCCCATAAGAAATCGAAGACTGAAGAATAAGACTACCTAAGCCTTATATATATATATATGAGTAATTACATATGTATTATAATGTATAGTATTATATTATTTTAAGTAATTATCCCTTTTATTTTGGCTAAAAAAACTTGGTAAAATTAGAAAAAATAAAAGGAGCATAAAAATTATAATCATATAAAAGAATCAAATATCAAAATATAAGATTAAATAAGTTAAATTTCCTTCTTTTCCTCTTACCTCTGATTTTTTTAAAACAAAAAAATAAAAATAAAACCACTTTTCAATTCTTGTGCTTTCACATGGCTATAAAAATGCGCCAATTTTATGAATGAACTAAAAGATTAAACTACAGATTTAGCTCAGTTATTAAATAATTTTTTATCTCCCATAAGAAATCGAAGACTGAAGAATAAGACTACCTAAGCCTTATATATATATATGTGAGTAATTAAGTCATTCGGCCTATCTCAAAGCATGATAATTGATTTTTTTTTTTACATATGATATGGGTAATGTATTACTAAGTGGGGCAGAAAAGCCCGTTCTGCTCGGCCTGCCCTTACCCAGCTTAAAATGGCTAGGGCATCTACTGGGTCATGCGGGGTAGCAGGCTGCAAAACTCAACTCACTCATCTTTCGGGCTGGGTATCGCGCATAGGGCTTATCTTGCCCAGCTCTGCCCATGCGCAAGCCTACCGTGTGCTAGGCTGTTATGGATTCTAAATTATTTGATGGACTTGATAATATGCATCTACTCTGTCCAGTTCTAAATCACAAAAAAAAGATTAATCAAATCAAGACATTAAGTTAGACAATTTATTGCTGGACCAGGTCATATATCAATGTCGAGTCTCTCAGTTATCAAGGCTTGACTGAGCCTTCTTGACATTAGAAGTGATTAAGATGAGAAATAAATAAATATTTAATTATATTTTATGGAATTTTTATTTTTTGTCATTACAAAATGATCCTAATTTTTTATTTTATTTTTCATCACATCGAGAAGGACAACTTTTTTTAAAAGTTGTCCTAACAAAATAGTCTAATCTAATCATAATTTATAAGGTAAAAATATCATTACCCCTCTTTTGATTTGGCAAAAATGTTGAGTGCTATTGATTAGTTAAAGTAGACTCTATATAAAAAGTCTTTAGCTTTTGCGTTGAGGTGTGACGGAATGTGTATCATCGTCATAATAAGAAAGAATACAACTCATGTCTTTTTTTAAAAAGGGGATAACATAGGGTCTCTCCTCCCAAGTTTGGGATCAATTTAATTGGAGTGAGTTTGTTGCTCCATAATTAATGAGATGAATAGATAATTTCTTCGTCATTATGTTTTCCCCCCCTCAATTGACATAGTTTACATGGTATTAGAGTCATTTGATTCTAAAAAAAACAAGAAACAATAACCGATCGTAAGAATAACAATAAAACTGAACAGTAAAAGTTTTTATACTGTGTGCTTTACAAAAAAATTATAAATGATAAAACTAGAGATGAAAAAAATCAATAAAAATGTAACTGGTATCATAAAAATAAAGGATCAAACCATGTAATAAAAAACAATAGACGACTGTTCAAATGGTTACTAAAGAACCAAACTGAATATTCGTCTTCCACCCCACTGACCTATTCATAAATTTCTCAATTTATAGCTAGAGGCACTCAACTTTACCCTTTAATCGTTGGTTGAAGACAGCTTTATTTCAGAAACTCTATAGTTTAATTCACGCCTTCTTATTGTCTGTTGTTGCAAGTTGATACTTTAGTCAGTCTAAACAATGTCAGCTTGCGACTAATGATAAAAGGGTAAAAGAAGTCATTGAATACACAAAAATACGGTATAACATTCCCAAGCGACAGTAATAACCTTATCCGGCTTCATGAACTTAACAACTTCCTCTCTAGGAGCAAAAGAAATGTTCACTATATCCTCATTGCCAATTCAATTAATTTGCAAATTAAGAAACAATGTAGACGTTAAAGTAACATATCGATTTAAGAGTTTTGATAGTGAACATCAATCTAACGATAAAGAGATGGCGGTAGATCAAGAAACTTGTTAAAGCGAGATCGCTTAACTAAGAAATTGGACTGAGTTAGACTTAAACATTTCTGACACAATTAACTTGAGCTCATTGACCCAAATATAACCAATTTGCCTATCCTACGAAATGAATACGGCCACCCCACTATTAATCTTTAAAGCATGAACCGGCAGCCAGGAAGGAACACGGCATGATCTACACGTTCTAGGAGGAGTATGAGAAGTGAAAAAGCGGCAAAGGAAGGCACAGATACAGAGGTAAAAAAGTACGAGACTTGCTATTTTTCTTATTTCAATTCAGTCACTTCGCTTATTGAACAGATTCTTACTTTATACAAGAGCAAGGGCAATAACGCCATTTGATACACCCCCAGGAGCCCTCGACAACGGCCCCTCCCCGATGAGTGATGAGGGCAGGCTCATCATACCCCACTGTTGAAATAGTAGCCGCTCGATCCTGGAAAACTGTTCGCTGCAGCCATCTCAGGTGAAACGACCTCAAGCAGTGACGTTTTGGCCCGCGGGATGGGGGCGGAGGGCGCGCCACGAGATGTCACCGAAAAAATGCGAGGAAAATCGCAGGGGTACAAATCCTACCCACCAGTAACTCGCGTCCAACACACGACACGAAATAGACTAGGAGCGTGCTTGTCACTGTAGATTTTACAGCGCGTGGATTATGTTTTCAATAATCAAAGGAACTCGTCTAAAGTGTTCAGGGGTCGGGCAACATATCTCACTAGCGTGAGCCCATGGGTTGAATCGGGTTAACGTGTACACTAGCATTTATCTTGCTGTGAGGCTTAACCTATATTCCCCACTGATCCTTTAGTCTGTTTTCTCTCACCTCGTTCAAGCGCAATCAAAAGCAAAAGGGTTTTCCTTGCCTCGTTCGGTTTCTCGTCTCTCGTCCTCGCTGTCATCCATGGCTGAACGTACCGCCTCTGATACTCGCCTCCGCATCTCCGCCAATCCTCCGTATGAGATCTCCAAAGGTATTTCATCTTCTTATTTTTCTCGACTCCTATCTTTTGACCTATCATTTCTGACGTAAACCCTAGCTCTCGTGAGCTACTTGGGCTTTTCCTTATCATTCTTTTCAGTTGATTTCCACAATGAAAATGCAGTTTATTTTTTTAAACTGAGTTTAGGGTTTTGCTTTATCTTCAAACTGTCATTTTTTCAAGTCCTTCTTTCCAATCCCAATTTATTTAGCTGTCGGTCTAGATTTTGAATTCGGGAGGTTAGACACATTGACGAATTGGTCACTACGAGTGGATATACTTACAGCGCTGATTTGCTTCTTTTTTTAGCACGCATTTGAACTGGCAGTTTTATGTTTCTTGGTCTCATTAATTTCTTTTTTTTCTCTCGGTTGCGCAATATTTTTTACCGCACCCGTGTTCGCGTTTTTTGTTGTTGTGCTTTTAATCACTTGATGTTTAAGACATATTTTGTACTGAATGTCGCTGTTATTTTAAGTGATGGGTACTACTGTATTTTGTTTTGATGTGTATCGTATTTTTACTGCTTCAAGTGAACAATAGCAGAAAATACATGTAATTGTATGATGCACATGAAGAAAATTTGTTTTGGGAACGACGGAAGCTAGACAGAGTTTGTTCCTTCTTTGCGGTGGGAAACTGGCTTATTGCTTTATTTATTTATTTATTTATTGTTTGCCTTACATGCTTTTTATGCCATAAGTGAAACTTGAAACTTTACATAATGCTTTTACAACTTCTTCAATTTGCAATGGGCAATTTGTATGATTATTTTTGGTTTTAAGTTGACAAAGTTTTGATAGACTGAACCATCTAGCCCATTGTGCAGATTTTCAGGGCCCTGACAATCCTATTCCTCTCTCACCTCAGTGGCTTTTGCCAAAGCCCGGTGAGAGTAAACTTGGAACAGGAAGTGTGGTATGTAATAGCTGCATCTGTAATTTTCCTACTTTTTATGCTTTGTACATCGGATCAGTGCATGTATACAAAGATGATTTATTTTTTGCATGTTTACTTTATTAACTAGATGCCCCCGTTCAGCTTTGCATTAATAAATTATAGTTTCCTCAAAAGTTCTTTTTCCTTCTCTCCTCTTTTCTGTCCCAGGAAAACCATGTGGTTCCAGCTCCACCATATGGCAATCGCTCAGAGACTGTCAAGATATCTGGAAATGGTGAGGATCTGCATGATGCCCATAAGAGAAAGGATGTTTTCAGGCCATCCATGCTTGATTCAGAAAGTGTTCGTCGTGACCGTTGGCGTGATGAAGAGAGAGACACCAAGTTCATACGAAAGGACCGTTGGAGGGATGGGGACAAAGACCTTGGTGATGCTCGGCGTGGGGATCGGTGGACTGAAAATATGCCCACAAGGCACTTTGGAGAATCACGTCGTGGTCTACCTGATAGATGGAATGATTCAAGTAACAAAGACACAAACTATGATCAACGACGTGAGAGTAAGTGGAACACACGTTGGGGTCCTGATGACAAGGAGCCAGAAAGTTTGCGTGAAAAATATGGTGGTTCTAGGAAAGATGGTGAAGTTCATATGGACAAAGGCTTGTCAAACATTTCCAATCATGGAAAGGATGAAAAGGAGGGGGATCATTATCGGCCATGGAAACCTAATTCCTCACAGAGTCGTGTAAGGGCGGAGCCACCCCACCACCAAAACTTAACACCAAACAAACAAGTCCCTACATTTTCTTATGGACGGGGCCGTGGGGAGAATACGCCTCCTGTCTTCTCTCTTGGACGTGGTCGGGTTGGCCCTGGTGGTAGCCCTATGAATAGTATCTCTTCATATTCTCATTATCCTGGAACTAATATGGATAAGATTGAAAGTTTGCCTGGAGAGCCTGGTCTATTTATGTACAGCAGGATGAAGTTACTTGATGTGTACAAGGTAACTGACATGCATGCAACTAGAAAATTTGCTGATGAGTTTGTTCAAGTTCCTCATCTAACACAGGATGAACCTCTAGAGCCCCTAGCACTTTGTGTGCCAACTCCTGAAGAACAGGTAAGTAGTATTTTTATATTGTTCTTCTGGATGCCATTGCAGCTTTTGGTGGTTGATTAGATTGCATTCCTGTGTGCGCAGGATGCTTTAAAAGGAATTGACAGAGGGGAAATAATTAGTAGCGGTGCACCTCAGGTGCCAAAAGATGGATGGAATACTGCTGATGCCGCACAGTCAAGACGAATGAAGCTAGGAGGTGCCCCTCTCCAAGGTATAATCAGGATAGAAGCCTGAAGATGGGTTTGGGTGTAGGCTAACTGCTCTTGCTTGGAATTGATTTGTTTTGGCTGGCTGTCTTGATTATCATACAGATGAAGGTTCTGATAGTGTAAAAAATGATTATATATATATGTTTATACTGTCAAACATATTTTCTAATTAATGACTCCAATCTGTAAAGTTTTGATGCCTTGTCTATCTGGTCTTATTTGAGTTTCAGCAAAATAAAAATAGGTAATTTTAATTGTATGGAATAGTGTTTGGTCATTTACGAATTTGCAATTTCCCTCTTTCTTTTTGTTACCTTTAAATTAACTTTTTTAGTGATGAACATTCTCATGAGATATGAGGAGGTAAGTTTTTATCATCAATAACATTAGTCAGCTTGTTTATCTTTCCTTTTAATGAAAAGAAATTAAAAAGTGAATTTTCTTCACGATATTCCGGGCAAGTCACTAATTCAGTTTATACTTCTGATGTTTGTGACCAACAATTTTCTTCCTTCTGTACTTCACAAGAAAGAATGTGCCTTTTTTGGGCAATTTTTAGAAGTTTTCCTAATTTCTTCTTGTTGCAGACAAGGGTGAAGATGTAGTTTCATTCAAGCTCGCTGATGAGGTTCCTAGCAATAGAGAATTGACCTTTGAAGGAGATGGTTCTGTTAATCCTGCTGCTGCATTGCGAGCTATGCCAACAAGCGAGCATCCAAACACTTCTTTGCATGATGTGCCTGGTGATCTTAAGTCAAGAAACTTAGATATGACTTGGTCACATCAACTGAAGGAACCTCATAGCCAGCGTGAAAGTAATCTGAGTTATTTATCTGACTCCAAAGATGTACCTAAGTGGCAAACTAATGAAGATCCCATAGTTAAGAGGCAGCTATCTGGCATTTTTGACACTGGGTTTGAAACACGGAGAGTTCCTCAGACTCCTCCAGAGGAGTTATCTCTTTTCTATAAAGATCCTCGGGGTCAAATTCAGGGTCCCTTTAAAGGAATTGATATTATTGGATGGTTTGAGGCTGGATATTTTGGCATTGATTTACCTGTTCGTATGGAAAATGCTGCAGCTGACTCGCCTTGGGTGTCACTTGGCGATGCCATGCCGCATCTGCGAGCTAAGGCCCGGCCACCACCAGGGTTTGCTGCGCCAAAACCAAATGAGTACACAGATGCATCTGGGCGTCAAAATTCCAATGCCTTTGGGAGTATTCATTCTGGCTTAAGTGAGATTGAAGTGATGAGAAATGATTCTAGGAATAGACAGAGTTCTGCCACAGAAGCCGAAAATAGGTTTTTGGAGTCACTGATGTCTGGAAATAAGAGCAGCCCCTCAATTGATGGTCAGACTTTGTCAGAAGGTTTGTCCTTATTTTGTCAAGATTTTTCCCTTTCCAAAAACTTAGATACAGGTATATTTCAGTGTGTTGCCTTTGTTATCTGTAGTTTATTGAGCAAATTGTATTGTGCTGGTGGATTGTGTGGCTTGACTTGAATTAGGCTATATTAGGAGCGTCTTTTTTATTTTTCTGGGTAATAATTCTGGTTATTTGGATTCATCAGGAGTAGATACTGGAAACATGTTAATGCTGGCCAAGAGGATGGCACTTGACCGACAGAAGTCAATACCAAATACTTACCAGTATTGGCCTGGGAGAGATGTAGCATCTCTAGTGTCAAAATCAGATATTGTCCCAGATGCACCTGCACCACCACATTCAAAACTCTTTGCTTCAGCAAGTGACAGTGGTCTTCAGCCTCGGTCCCAGAATGCTGACTTGATGTCTATCATCCAAGGACTGTCTGACAGGTCATCCACAGGGTTTAATAATGGTGTTGCTGGATGGTCAAATTATTCTGTGCAAGGTGGTTTGGATTCACTGCAGAATAAAATTGACTTGCACCATGATCAGAACTTCCCTCAAGGGCCATTAGGAATTCAACAACAAAGGGTACAACCTCAAAACCAGTTGCCTTTTAGCAACCTGGCAGCTCAAGCTGTAGATAACCCCTCTGGTGTTTTGACAACGGAGAAATTACTTGCGACTGGTTTGTCCCAGGATCCTCAAATGTTAAATATGTTGCAACAGCAATATTTGATGCATTTGCATTCTCAGGCAGCTGTTCCATTGCAGCAAATGTCATTGCTAGACAAATTCTTCTTACTGAAGCAACAACAGAAACAGGAAGAGCAGCAGCAGTTATTGAGGCAACAGCAGCAGAAGCAGCAGCAACTGCTTTCTCAGGTGCTGCAGGAGCATCAGTCTCAACAGCACTACGGGGATCCTCCTTATGCACAGTTGCAGGGAGGTGGAATACCAATGGGGAATTTGCGTGTCGATCCTTCTCATATTCAGCTACCACAAGAGATTTTTCCAATCAGTTCACAAACACCAATTCCCACCATGCAAGATACTCTGGCCAAGACTTTGAGCTTACCTGGGCAGGATGCTAGTTATGGTGTAAGCAGTGAAGCTTCTGCCCCACCTATATCTCACCAAATATTTGGCAATATTGCTCATCAGAAAAGTTGGGGCCCTATTCTTCCAGAGCAAAGTAATGAATTGCAGCAAAAGGAATCATTGCCTGTATCAACAATGGTAGAAAGTTCCATGTTGCATGAAAATAGAATTAAAGAGGAACCTGTGGTAAAATCTCTCTCTGTTTCTGACACTGCTGCTAGATCTCTGGAGCAGATGCCGGGTAACACATGCAAAGCTGATGATATTTGCATGACTGCAACTTCTGAGTCTGGTGAGCATTCCATACCTGCTGCAGCTGATGCTGGGAAGCTATCAGCTGGAACTTGTGCTTTTGAGTCTCCAGCAGCAAGTAATATGGATAGTAGTGTGAAGATTGAATCAGATGGTGCACACGAAGAACTGCCTGCTGGAAGAGACAGGCCCACTGATGAGCCCGCCCCTGCAGATGTAAAAAATGTTGAAGCACGGGAGCCGAAGAAGGCTTTTGAGAAGAAATCCAAGAAGCAGAAGTCTTCCAAATCTCAGTCTTCTGATTTAGTGAAGGGATTGTCAAAGAGTCCACCTTTGGAGCAGTCAAAGCAATCAGAAACTGTAAAGCCAAACGCTGACATAAAGTTGGGAGAAGCCAGCAAGGGAGAGCCAGTTCGTGAAACCAGTATGCCACCTGCAAGGGATAAGACCAATAAATCTGTGGCAGCTACTGAGGGGGCTGATCAAGATGTCAATGCCATGTCTGCAACTGTTCCAGGAAGAATCCCCGAAATTGTTGTTGAGGGTGTTGTGAAGGCAGCTAGTTCTGTTTCCACACACAGTACGGAAGTAACTGTTGGGCGAGCTTGGAAACCTGCTGTGGGTATCAAGGCAAAGTCTTTACTAGAAATTCAACAGGAAGAACAGAGAAAGGCACGAACTGAAACACTTGTTTCTGAAATTACTACTTCTGTCAATTCCATGAGTCTGTCAACTCCCTGGGCTGGGGTTGTGGCCAATCCAGATGCAGTAAAGGTATCCAATGAAAGTCAAAGAGAACTAGACAATACTGAATGTTTAAGTAAGCCTGATACTTCTCAAAATGCCAAGGGAAAGAAAAGCCAACTACATGATATATTGGCAGAAGAAGTTTTAAAGGAATTTAACGAAAGAGATACTGACAGTCCAGACATTTCTTCCTCCCAAAATACAGTGATTCATTCTGATTCAATAGATGATGACAACTTCATTGAGGCAAAAGACTCTAAGAGAAACCGGAAGAAGTCAACAAAATCAAAGGGCTCTGGGGCCAAGGTCTCCAACCTGATTTCATCTAGTGAAGTAGCTATTGGTACAAGTTCCATAGAAAAAGGTAAAAGCTCTCGCGCTGTGCAGGTGGAGAAAGAAGTAGTGCCTTCAATTCCTGCAGGACCCTCTCTTGGAGACTTTGTTCCCTGGAAAGGGGAGCCTGTAAGCCCCTCACCATCTCCAGCATGGTCTGCTGATGCTGGTCGGGTTCCTAAACCAACTTCATTAAGGGACATTTTAAAGGAGCAGGAGAAAAGGGCTTCTGCACAGCCTAACCAGTTACCTACTCCTCAGAAGTCACATCCTGCCCAAGCAGCTCGGAGTACTGGTTCATCATGGCCAGTATCAGCATCCTCTCCATCTAAAGCTTTTTCTCCAATTCAGACAAGCTCACATTCTGCTTCTCAGTCGAAATATAAAGTGGATGATGACTTGTTCTGGGGTCCCATAGAGCAATCTAAGCAAGAAACTAAACAGTATGTTTTGTCTATTTTTTGTTCCATTTATGTTTAGTGGATCTTGTTTAATTTCGTTGATACTGCCCTTTTCAATGCCTGTTTAGTTTGCAAGACATGAATTATATGCTGCTATGATGACCAGAAGCGAAGATCTATTGGCAAAAACAATCATATGACTTTTGAAGGAAGGGTTTTAATTTCTCATTTGCAGTAATCACAGTAATAAATGATTAAATAACAGTGATTGGCTTGGATTTGAAAAGTATTGGCAAACCTCTAGAAACAGAGACTCATTGCCTTCATTATTATACATGAGTAACACTTTTCACCTTTAAACTAGAGCATTCAAATTTGAAAGTAAGATGCCCAATAGTAGGTTTCTAACTTACTCTTTCCTTATATCTCATGTTTTGGTTGCCAAATTGAGAGTGAGTGGATTGTAGCTGATTTCTTTTCTATCATTGAATGCAGGTCGGATTTCCCTCAGCTTGCAAGTGAGGGAAGCTTGGGCTCTAGAAAGACTCCCATTAAAGGGAACTCGCCTGGGACATTAAATCGACAGAAATCAGTTAGTGGTAAACCAGCTGAGAGGTCTCTGTCTTCATCCCCTGCATCATCTGTGTCGTTGCTGAAATTGAAAAAGGATGCCATGACTAAGCATTCTGGTAAAATTGAATGGCTATTCTTTTGTGTTTTCAACACTGCTTAGTTCACTTGCCTGGAAGTTCTGCATCTAGTTTCATCCTTTATAAGTTCTATTTCATGATTGGCTCTTTGGTGATTCACTAAAGATAATGACTCCTTCACATGTACAGAGGCCATGGACTTCAGAGATTGGTGTGAGAACGAGTGTATTAGGCTTATTGGGACAAAAGGTACGTTCCCTTTTAATGTAAACTTAGCTTTGGTTTTCAAGTTAATTTGGATGTCTGTTATGCTTTAAGGTTACTTGGCAAGTCAGTTTTTGCGTAAATTCTTATTTTCTGGACGAGAGGAAATTTTGTCAAGTGCTTGTGTTCGTCTGATTAGAAGGGACACCTTGAATAAAGTTTAGCATTGTTAGAGCGGATGGAGCTTTTCCCATGATGAACGTTACATTGAATACAGCAGCTCAGAGAATTTAATTCAGTATGTTATACTTGAAGTAACTTGTACATGACCATTTAACTCGGGTGGCTTGCAGATACAAGTTTCCTTGAATTTTGCCTGAAGCAATCCAGATCAGAAGCTGAGATGCTTTTAATCGAAAATCTGGGATCATACGACCCTGATCACGAATTCATTGATAAATTCCTAAATTACAAGGAGTTGCTGTCATCAGATGTACTTGAAATAGCTTTTCAAAGCCGGAGTGATCACAAAGTTCATGGACGTAGTGTTGGAGACATGAATCCTGGAAATGCAGATATGAAGGACCTTGACACCTTAGGCCCTGACGGATCTTCAAAGGGCGGAGGAAAGAAGAAGGCTAAGAAAGGGAAGAAGGTCAGCCCTTCAGTCTTAGGCTTTAATGTCGTAAGTAACAGGATCATGATGGGCGAGATTCAGACAGTAGAAGATTAATTTAATTAGAGCTTCTTGCGGGAGATATAGAGACCTTTTGGCTGTGCTTGGTAATTTGTAAATGATTTTGACGGTTTAGGTGTTTTTTTGCCCCCAACACCAGCAGCAGCAGCAGCACTAGGTGGTGGTTCTGCTCAAGCATTTTTGTCGACTAACTGTAGAATTTATTTTGACGTTTGATGACGCTGAGCGAGCTATAATCTAACGTCTGGCTTACTGACTCGACTTGTTAGTTTACTTTTTTCATTCTATTGCTAGGAAGTAGTTAGTGGAACAAAATTTGTATAGGTGGAAAAGTTTTAATGCCTGGATGCACAATATTAAGGTATATCATTTGCGTTGGATGCGGCTAGAAGTCTTTTAAGCTATGGAGGCTTATTATGTTGCTTGGCCTTCACCCAGTCCTATGTTGGTTTAGTCCAAGTAATTTCTCCAAGTCCTATCGCTCAATTTTGTGATTTTTTTTTTCAATTACAAGGGGACAGACAATAATGACTCAATTACAAGAGGAATTGAACCTTGGCCTCCCACTTGGGGGGAAAAAGCCTTCTCACCATTAATTTATTAGGCTATTGAGTGATGACGTCATTTTGTGATAAGTTCAATGATCAGATTGTTGTGTCCAACATAATTGCCGTTAAAATGCTTTGATTCCTTCAATTCCAAAATAACCATTCCATACGCCCATAGTTATTGGCTTATTGCCTTGAGATGGCTAGTGCGTCCTATTCTCATGTCAGATTAAAGGAGCACTGCGCTTTAAAAGGTCCAAGTCGGAGAAAATAGCTCCCCAAGTTGGCTTTCCAAGTCCACTTGACGTTCATGCGAGTATTCTTCACAAAAAACTATAATTTGAAGCTCCCCGATCCTTTTCGTCATTCCCGCGACAGGTCTGGGGTGGAGTGTGTCTGATGTGATCATCAATTGCCTCCGAAAGATCTCTTTTTGCCGCCCTTCCAAGTCTTATTTCCATCAACAGTTCTCCAATCCACTGCCCTAAGTATATGTTAGGCTCCCTTGCACAGGTTTCTTAAATTTTAAAAACATCAAAGACTTTAATATTAAGCGTCAGAATATCCCTTCGGCGTTTAAAAATGATACATTTAAATTATTATGTTAAACGATGGTACATTAAGTATGTATTGATGTATATTAATAGTGTGACTTATTTTAAATTATATATATAAATGACATAGTAATGCATTGACTTATATTAAATTAATAAAAAATTCTCAAAAGAAAGGTCCACAATAAAAGATGTCTATAAACCATCATCAAGTAGTTTGCAGGCCAAATGTGTTGAGATGGTGAGAGGGAAAGGGAATATTTTTAAGCATGTGTTCTCTGTAAATAATCTGCTTCAGTCTGCTCAGGCTTGAAGGTTTCGATGTTGCGAAGGAGATGAGGTTTCCTGTTGTCAGTTACTGGCAGCCTTAATATTTTCCGCGCTCTTCTTTGCCCCTTGCTTTTGTTTGATACTCTACTGTTCTGCACCATGCTCATTCTACTTTAGTTAGTAATTGCCTATTCGGTGACACGAGCAAATATTTTGCAGATCGATGATAATTAAAAAAGAAGAAAAATGGCGCACGCGCTTGTGCCTGAGAGAAAGTCACAGTACGCTAGATTCGATCAAGAGTTAGTCAAGTTCGTGTATTTAAGAGGGAGAATCACAACAATCAATCAAACAGAAGATCTAATTCGGCTAAAGATTCTTGAATTTGATGGCCACACACACAGCTCCAACTCAATATGTTTATTTCTGACATGAAGAATTTAGTAAAACTTTGACATATAGCTAAGGGGTATGTTAAGTGCGTCCATTTTAAGGTATATGTAATTTCACGAGGAATTTATCTTCCAAACCAGCTTTGTTCGCATATCACATTCTTTGGAAAAGGAGAAAGTGGAATGACACAGCTTACCGACAAGCGCAACGACATCTTAGCGATTTCGGAAACAGCAGCTTCTCGTACGCCACGAACTTCACTCGCCAATTGCTCGTAAGCAGCTTCAAATGCCTCCGACCAAAAACGCGGCAACCGACTGGCGGCGCTGTGAGTGTACACATCCCACATGCGCCTCACCGTCTTCTCCCTCTCCTCCAGTTCCTATCCCGCACAGCAATATCCGATCCAGATTTCAGACATTTACACAAACCAATCATAAAGCAAATCAAACCGAATCAAAGTTGATTACAGTGGTAGAAGTACCAGGACATCGATATCGTTGAGAATCCTAGAATCGGAGTCGTTGGGGAAACGAAGAATATTGACCGGTGACAATTTGAGAGTAACGGAGCCGGTGAACATGGACCAGAGAGCTAGAAGAACGATCGCAGTTATGACCCACCAGAACCTGTTGTGTCTGTTGCCGACAACTGCATCTTCGGAGCTCTCTCTCTCTGTCATGGCGGTTCTTGCGGATGGATCTTCGGCCTTCATCATGCGTTGTGTCTATGTCCGTCTGTATGTTGGGGAAGTGAACATGCGCGAGCTTCGTTGCGGAGCAGAGGAACCATACTTTGAAAGTCTAAGATTGTGAATAGAATCATGTGGTGCGTTGCGAACCACCGCGTTAACAGGTTGGTAAAGAAGCATGCACAGTGTTAATTTAATTCCTTGTGGAAATCAAGCCATTTTAAAAGTCATTTTATGATGCAAAAATTTTATCTCAATTTACATAAAAAAAAAAAACTTTTTAAAAATGCTTTCAAATGGTCATCTAGCTCAACCCAAGCTGATTCTGAGTTCGCACCAAACTCAGAAAAAATAGTGTGACTTTGACCCTGAATAATCATACGACGGACTGACTTAGGAATGATAAGATTCTGTTTATTTTTTTACTTTTTTTTTTCTCCCACTGCGTCACAATCAGATTTGTTCTAATATTTTTTTTTAACTACACACAAGTATTTTCTTATTAGAATCAATCATATTCAATGCACTTTGGATTACCAGTGTGAAGGACTAAATTTTTTTGCTAAATCTGTGAAGAAGTAAGGAGCATTGAAGATCTCGCAATGGAGGGTATTTCCCGACCTAACGGCCTTTTGACACTGGTCTCAAGAGCACAAGGCCCGTTTGGGCAAGCGGACCACCAGTTTCGGCTCCACTTTTTATTTGCCCAAAAAGAAAGGGCTGAACTCGTCAAAATGGAGCGCTTATGTTTGGACTGTAACGCAATCCCTCAATATTCAGGAGAATAAAGATATAATTGTTGGTTAATCATGGACAGCAACAAATTAGCTATCCTTGATGTGGATAAGTATGCAAATATTTGGGTGTGGGTTTGGTCCCGGTCAAAGGGTGAGAGACGTATGAATTATGATTAGCAGCAAGCAGCAGAAGCAGTATTGAGTTTGGTTGCTGTTTGGAAATACTAGTCTATATGTATGTCCCCGTGCAATCCGATCGAGAGATTGCGATGCCACGCCTCTGAATGATCTCGTCGGATTGCGCATCTCTAATTTTAAAAAAAATTAAAAAAAGGGCCAAACCAATTCCTCAAAAAACAAAAAGCCAGAAGAAATGAGAATAAATAAACAGATGCGGGGGTGGTGAGGTGTCAGAATCATTCTTTTGCGGTTGGGGAGATATGCGTTGTTGAACTCGTCAACTCATTCCGGGGCACGCTTTGTTTGTTCTGTCGATCGTGGCGTGGTCTCACATTTTCTTGAATGTCTCTTTACTGTAAACATCTTGAAAGGACTTGCAGTTATTGTGTCTTGATGATTATTATTATTACTCGAAACGAAATCACGTCAATGCAGTTATTAATGGATAGGAATTGGCATTAACTCTGATCTGGTGTGCTTTTAAAGACTTGATGTGAGGTGAAAATTAGAACTGGGTTGCTGCTTAAACCACAAAATAAAAGAATACAAAAATTGACCAGATCTTCCAAGCTTATGGCAGCTCATAGGCCTCTTACCCTTTTCTTCATTTGTCTAAATTCAGAGTCATGTTCGAACAATACAATCACTAAAAATTCCAGGTCCCTTTCGGGTATGAACCACATGCTCGCTCGGATTAAGTCATCACTGGGTCCTACCTTTGCTTCTTCCTTCCCCATAGGCCGGCCTTTCTTTTCTTATAAATACATTCTTCGCCCCGGAGCAGCGTATTCTACCAGCAGATTCTTCACAGCAATTCAAATTAACTCAGGCTTCATTTCAGCATGGCAAAACGCTTCAAACTGAAGCTCACAATCCCTTCTTTTCAACTGTGTCGCTCAAAACAGCTTTCCAATTTCCCAGGAAATCCAGTTCCCGCCATTTATCATCTGTCTCCGGTGAACCCCAAAGCACGAGATGTTGCCTACACGTACATGTCGAATCCCCCTCCCACTTCGCCCGATGACCATTACCGATCAAGACCTGTTTATTGTGAATCCAGATTCTGTAAAATGGGCGGTGACAGGGGCAGGAAAGTAAAATCTGCTGGAGGCCGAAGAAGTACGACCGCAAGCGTTTCGTCCAGGAGGAGTAACTTCCTCATGGACCAAGATGAAGAAAGCGAGAGTCTAGTTTCTGGCTTAAACAGCTTCTCCGATGAGTTTGGTTATCACGAGGCTGTCCGTGAGAGAGAAATCAGCAAGCACGTAATTAGCAGCGCAGAGAAGGTTCATAAACAAAGACAACGATCCGAAATGACAAGGAAAAAGAAGACGACGACGAGGACCAAGATGTCGGCGACGGGATCAGTGACGCTGAGTACAGTCGAAGGGAAGGTGAAGGAGAGCTTCGCGGTGGTAAAGAGGTCGAAGGATCCCTACGAGGACTTCAAGAAATCGATGCTGGAGATGATCATGGAGATGGAAATGTTCGAGGCCAGGGACCTGGAGCAACTCTTACAGAGTTTTCTGACGCTCAACTCGCGCAACTATCATGGAGTAATAGCGCGGGCTTTCATGGAAATTTGGCAAGAACTGTTCGCTGAACCTCGCGTTGACAACGACAAACATCCCAGGGATAGGTTTTGAAACCTGAACTCATGATTTTTTTTTTTGGCCTTTTTCACGCACGTGCATGTATCAAGGGATTTGGATTTTGGAGTGTATGGATTAGGATGCATAAAGTTTATTGGAGTTTGTGTTTTTATAAAAGAAATCTTAAATAGATAGATTTTTGTATTTTATAAAAATAATAAAATGACAAAATGCTCATGAGGACAGATAGAGAAATTCAAGGATCTTGCACAGATGATCCATTTTCAGGATCCGGAACACATTACCAAGAATTTTCCCTATTATTTTTATAAATGGGGTTGATTTGATCTTTTTGTTGATGTTTTTTGGTTAATCAGCATGCAAAACTTGTGTTTTCAACATTCTGTTTTAATTATAATTCATTAAAATGATTGACATGAACTATTCAATCGATCTCGCAACTAAAAATCAGAATCAAAATGAATACAAATAAGATACACAGAAGAGGCTTTCGCATCGAGCTTGCTGACAACAAAACTTATTATGATTGGCGTTTTTTGGGATAAAAACGTGGCTGGAGCCGAATATCATTTAACAGTCAACATGTTATCGTACATCCTTGATTCCATCTGGTGAATCAATACAAGGTGTTTAAGTCAGTTCAGTTTAGGTGATTTTGCGGTAAGTGAAATACTCCTCCGATCCTTATTATAAGACCCAATTTGACTTTTTATTTGGTCTTAATTATAAGATCCCAATCCATTTTGTCTCTTATATTTATGCATTTTTTTCCAAGATAATCCTTCTAACAATGATAGTTTTAGCCAATATACTTAATTAGCAAGGATATTTTAGGAATGACAATACTTATTTATTATAAATAACCAACTTAACTTACTTCTTTAATCTCCTCAAATAATTTTATTGGGTCTTATAATTAGGACCGGAGGAGTAATAATTATGCGGAAGTATTGTCATCTGAGCCTCCCCCAAGTGATTATAAGATATACACAACTCAAATTCCAAACTAAAGCCATGGCTAGCTATCCAATATCTACCATCAATGAATACCATACTCCATCCTATACAAACCTGTCTAGAAATCATCTCACGACTTTGACTTATCAGGACCAATGTCCACCACCTCTCTTGTTAACCAAATTATCGTCGGTGATGAATGACCTTTAATTGTCGGGTTCTTCACCCCCAGCTTTTTCACCAAATGAATCCCCAAAGATGCACCCCAAAGCTCAACATCATTCATGGTAGAGGAACCACCTAACACTGTGCATGCGTTGATACATATCTTGCGTTTGTAGCTCCCCCCCGCCTCACAGAATCAGCTTCCCCACCCAACTTTACTGGTTCAGCTCGATCCCAGTTTCAATAAAACGGGTAAGTCTGGTAACTTCTTCCAAGCTATCAAACGATCAATGACTTCAGTCCTCGGATCAAAATCTTCCTCCACCCCCCCCAAACACGAGTAACTACCCATCACCGCCCATGGACTCCCGTTAGGGCAGCATCATAATCCTCATGTGTCTCTGAAACATGACAGAGTGAAAAGCCGTTCACCAGATTGGAGGCTCCGATGGCGCCCAAATCAAGTTGAGTGCCCTTGTCATGGATGACCGTCGCGCTTCTCTTCCAAGTAGCTTAGCCAACTTCCTAGTCCAGATCCAGCCAAGACCGCACAGAATTTCTCATCAGCGAGTCCCCGGAAGATTTCTGGTTTCCCTTTCTCATCGTCTCCTCATATTCCATGCAGCTCTCAGCCATAGGTTGAATAGAATCCTCCCCCCGAAAGGGCGCCACTCCCTTTCTCCAGTGCATCTTTCTCCTCCTCCTCCATCGCCGCACCGCCGAGATTGGTGCCCCGGGAGCGTAGGAGTTGAGTGTACTTCGCAGCCCGCCGACCGGGGAGTGGTTTATTACCTCCAACATATTTTAATGTTTAGCTAAATTACTACTCGTTCCGTTCCTTATTATAAGAGACATTTGATACTTATGACATATTCTTATATATAAGAGACACTTACAAGTTGTCTCTACTTTTTTGTGTTGATTTACTATTTTACCCATATTTATTATCTCCAACTCACACTCTCTCTCCCTCTCACTTCTCTTTCTTTTAATAATTTAATTGTTCTCTCTTATGCTCTCTCTCCTTATTAATGAGGGCATTTTTGGAAAAAAATTATACTTTTTACACATTAATTGTTCTTAACTAAGTTTAACTATTTTTTTGAATGTACTTCAGTTATTTGTCTTTATAATAAAAACGGAGGGAGTATTACATTCGGTTATTATTATAATAACTAGTTAGCTAATTTAAATAAGTTAAAAAAATCAACTAAGTTAGTTATTTATAATAACTAATTGTTGTCTTTTCTAAAATATACTTGCTAATTAAGCGTATTAGTTAGAACTACTATTATTATAAGGACTATTTTGGAAAAAATGAATAAATATGACAGACAAAATGAATTGAGGTCTTATATCTAGAACCAAAATAAAAGTCAAACGAGATATTATATTAAAGATCAGGATTAGTATTTTTAACTGCTATAAAATTTAATTGATTAATTTGAGAAGATTTAGAAAGTTAGTTATATTAGTTATTATATAAATATTATCTTCTCTAAATTATATGTGTTTGGATTATCTATTGGTTGTAACTCCTTAACATATGCAACGACTATTAGAATTATATGAGGGCAAAATAGATAAATATTACCTTCGGCTTTTAATATAAGATTTTATTTGACTTTTATTTTGATATTAAATATAAGATTTCAATATACTCTGTCTCTCATATCTATTTATTTTTTTAAGATAATTATTGTAATAACGGTAGCTTTAGTTAATGTAATTGGTTAGTAAAGATATTTTAAAAAAGACAACAATTATTTATTATAAATAACTAACTTAACTAAATTTTTTAATATATTTAAATTAGTTAACTAACTCTTATATTAAAAAAAAGAGATAGTATTAAAAATAAAATAAATTAAGGTATTATATTTAAAATCAAATTAAAAGTTAAACTAGCTCTTATATTAAGAACCAGAGGTAGCATTAACTATTCCGGATTAATTATCACATTTTATAATTAATAACCAAACTTCATAATTTTAAAGTTTTATAAAAATAAATAATTTAACTAATTTATTAATTTATATAGAGTAATTATTAATTATATGCTTATAACAAAGACTAAAATGATTACTGAATTTTTTTATTAAGCTAAGAACAAAAGAATCTAGCCCAATAAAGGATCGGTGTATTATAAAATTAAAATTTTTATATTTATTTATTTGATTTTATTAGGACGTTTATTTTTTGGTCAAAATTAGGACGTTTACTTTTGTTTCTCATATAATTCTCACTTCTATTATATCAAGTATTTTAAAAAATTATTTAACCTTTTTATACCAAAATTGTTTTATATATTTTCATTCAATTTCTTCTCAATTTCACTTTCTATTTAATTATTTTAACTCAAATCTCAAAATAATGAGTATAAATGGAAAAAACTTAAAATAAACTGATTTAAAGAAAGAAAGAAAACAAAACCGGCAATTTTGGCGGTTCAAATTCAACGAGCACCGCCTAATCAATACCCGCCAAAATTCTGAGAGGGTGTTTGGGAAACCCAAACTATAGTTTCAGAAGTGTAATCACATATTACTTCGTAATCCGTTTCTGAAAATTGGCTATCCAAACACTGAGTGTAATTTCAAAATTGGCTCGAATTTCAGAACCAGACGACGAAAAGAAAGGAAAAAAAATGAAATTAAAATAAAAAGTTATGCAAGAAGCGCCTTAACCCAAAATTCAAAAACATTTAGCGCCATTTTCTTTCTGCTAAAAATCATTAGATCCACTCCAACAGTTCGCGGAGCCAAACTCGTTCTGCAATCGAAGCAGAAGTTCAGATCCGATATGGAGAGCGACGACGATATTGAGCTACGGCCGTCCTCTCCCGTGCAAGAACGAAGGCTGAAGCGTTTGAAGAAAGCAGTTAGAGCTCATGAATATCCCCGTCCTAATACGCCCGATGGTAGCCCTTCTCCGCTGCCTGGTAATTCTTCTGAATCTGATGCCTCACACTCCGATGATTCAAATGGGCAAGATTTTGAGGGTCTTAATTTGGCATCCGCATCTTCATTGGAGCCTGTTGGTGATGAGAATGGACCAACCGCTGAGCGTGACGCTTTGGAAAGCGTCAAGGAAGATGATTTGAGTGAGGCGAAGGTTTTGGAATTTGATTCCGTCTCTGAGGATCTTGGAGGAATTGGCAATTCTTGCTCAACGGAAGCGAAGGGGCCAGAGGCTGAGGATCTGAAGACCAATGAACTAGAGAGAAACCAACATAGCTTGGATACCATTTCTGAGAAGAGAAAGAGAAAGAAGAGCTCCGGCAGTGATAGAGGCGAGGAGAAAGTCAGAGAATCCACATCTAATAAAAAACGGGCTGAGAAGGTATGCATCTGGGTTGGCCCATTTGGCTTCCTATTCTGGAGCAAATATCTTTTATGTTGTCATTGTTTGAGTTGCTAATTCGAAGTCCCTGATTTTCCAGGAAAGACTGGAAAGCCTTAGAAACCTTCGGGCTGAGTCTCAGAGACTTCTACGAGGTATAATTGCAATCTGGAGCTGTATTCCATGGGCTAATGACTGCCCTCCAAGGGGTGTGTTAGCTAGGGTAATCTAACTTGTTTTGAAGTTTCTACTAACTCTATATTGCCTCATTACTTCTCTAGAAAGTCGGGATGCAGCTTTTAAACCTATTGCCCGTGTTCACAAGCCCATTTCATCCCTATTGGATAAAATTCGGCAGCGGAAAATGGAGCTTTTAAAAAAGTAGGTGGATTATGTTAGAATTCTGTTTTAGTTCGGGCTTTCGTTGTCTTTTACATTAGGCACTGTGCTCATGCATATGTTAGTTGCAGATCCATTTCTACTATTGATGATAATGATGATGAATTCGCAAGGGATGTCCAAGTGGATGATGGATCTCGGCGTGCTTGTCTTGGGGATGACATAGCTGATAAGGTTGAACATAGTGAACGCCAAGAAATATTTACCAGTCCTGCGGACACGACGAATAATTTAGACCCATCACACTCAGGGGGGTCAGGCGCTGCTACAAATTCCTTTATTTGTGAAACCGAAGGCATTCGTTGTCCGATGGTTAGTGTTCATGCTCATCTAATACAACCGAATATGTTAGGAACTAATGGACCTTGCCATGGTCTTAAGAATGGAGTGCTGTTAAATATTTAAACTTCTTCAGCAGTCACGTGCATGCATAAGATATATAGTGAATACTGTCATTCGAATTTTAAGTCTTTTGTCTATTTTGGGAATATATCTAGTTATCGTTCTTGCAGTCTGACTGTACTAATGTCCCCATTGAATCTCAGGTCATGGATTCCGAAGCTGACAATGTGTTTCGAGCTCCTATTAATGATACTCAGGTTTTTATGTCAGCTGTTTGAGAAGATGCTTCCTTCTAGTATTAGATTTTGCACACTGATTGTCTGTCTGTCTGCAATGTCCAGGAGCTCTATTCTGATTCCTCAAGAAGTGACACCACATGCGAGGCATTGAACGAGAAGCCTGCTAGCCCTTCAGAAGTTATTAAACCACCAATCCCTTCAATGAACTTGCAACTCGATTCTGCACCTCCTGATGATGTGTGAGTGCTTAAAAGTTTCTTTCTCCTTTGTGGTCTTTGAATTGAGTGCTGCCGACAATTAATTACATTAGAATTTTATATAATTTTCTGAACGCCATTTGCTTGGATATTGGTATTGCATTTTTTTTTTTAAAGCATGGGACATGTTAGTTTAATAGTTGCTACTTCATGATATATGGGTTTATTTGCAGATTAGATTAGTATAGGTGGGAATTTGTTAGAAAATTTTTGCAATGATGCACAACAGCAGTGGTTTAACATTGCAATGATGACTAGCGTATCCATATTTTGACATATTATGTTATGACCGTTGAACTTGCTGTAATTAAAGAGCTACTATCGCTTTTCCTTATTCTGGGAGTTTAATATGACAAGCTCTCCTGTTTTGTTTCAGCTCTTCTGATGAAGAGGACAATGAAAAGGAAAATATAGATCCACATCCACATCGATCAGCCGACTCTTCACCACCAAGTGGTGACCCTGTGAAGGCTTTCGTTGATGAAGAAGCAGAAGAGGAGGATAATAGTGACAATGACCTTGTGCGCTTCCAAGAAGATGAGGATGACGACGATGAAGATGATGCTGAGGAGCTTAATAATATGATAGCATCTGGATATGAAGAAAATCTAATTGATAAGGAAAGGCGTGACCAACTTCACCAGCAGTGGCTGGAGAAACAGGACGCAGCTGGAATGGATAATCTACTGCAGAAACTTAATTGCGGTTCAAAATTGAGGGACACGACATCAATTGGTGAGGAAGACGATGAGGAAAGCAATGAAACTGGAAACGAATCAGAAGATGAAGAATATGTTGCCCAGCCAAATGCAGCCCGAATCAATCTGGAAAAAGTGAGGCAGATGATTCCTCAGATGTTTTCAGATAAAGATGACGCATATGTATCATCCGATGAAGAGGAAACACAGAAGATGCTGCCTAAACGGTGCTTATCTGCCAAAATTGTGAGTTCATACTTCTCTGCAACCTTGCAGGGGTCTACTGTAGCCGTATAACTGTTTTTTTTTTTTTTTTTAAATTTATAGCAAATGTTGACCTTATTATGGGGTCTAACACATTTAAATCTCTGCATACGCTGAGTACTTATGTTTTATTATTTGTTATAAACTTTAATTGGTCATGTACTATGGAACAGGAGGAGCAAACTGCGTTCTTGTCACCGGCTGAGGATGAAAGTAGCCGGGAAGTTTTCAGTCTTATAAAGAAACTGAATACTGTGCCTGACACCAAGAAGAAAGGCAGGACACCCTGTAAGATGCTAATAATTTCACCAAAATTGGGCCGCTAGATTTTGTAAGATACTGATTGTTCCTCCTGTACCCTGCAGCGTTCTTTGATACTCCGCTCATTGGACAAAACATCAACGTATTATCCAAGGTGAGCTTGTTTTAATCCCATGATGTTTGAAAATGAATTGCTACTTCATTCTATGCCAGCTATGAGAAAGTAATAGTTGTCACTAACTATATGGTACAAATAGGGCCCCTTGATCTACAAGATCAGAAGAGTCTTTACTGATTCTTAATGGCCTGCTGATTTTCCTTGCAGAGGCATCTAAAAATTTCCACTTGGGTCCAGATATCTATATTTTTGTCTGCCACCACGTTTACCGTTTCTCTTTCTATTAGGCATGCGGGTATTGTGAACTGTGTTTAGAATGCCATATCTGAACTTTCATCTCGTAAATGTTGCAGTCATCATTCCTAAATCGTGCTTCCAATCATTCGTTGCCCTCTTCTCAAAAGCATGGACCAAACAAGGCTCGTTCTTTCATTTTTGGACGAGATGACAGCAATAGCAGGACTTCAATCTCAGTGTCAGAGGACTCGTTGGATACGGTAATGACTATCTGAATCGAAAGTTTGCACGCATTGTATAACTTGAACATAAGTACTGGTCTGAACAAAATAGTTCTTCACTATTTAATTTTCTTTATTACTCCCTCCAACTTAATAACTGAATTATTTAAGTATTTACACTTGAGAAAAAGGTAAGGAAAAGGATTTCAAGGTAACTTCCACATCCGAGATGTGTCTGGTGTGGAAGACCGTAGATATGGTGTTAGAAACTAAGAATTATGACAACGACATGACCGCTATGGAAGTTTTAAGTCACCTCACTCTTATTCACTGCAAAAATCGAATGTGCAGTTTCTTTCACTTCGTCGTTTATTCCTTGTGACTGCGGTGCCATCACTAATAAGGCTATATTATATCGATCTAACTTGCAGATCCAAAAGGAGACTCAGCCGCCAAAATCTGCTAGTGCCAAGTATCAGAGTAATACACAGAACCGATATCATAATTCGAACTCCTCATCTCAAGAGTCAGGTACTTGTCTTTTGGAGATATTAAGGAAATCGTCGCGGCATGCAGAGCGACGTGTCCAGAATGACACTGTTCGCAAACGGAATCTGTATTTGCTGCATTCAAGTTAGCAAAGAAGCCAATTCAGACCGAGGGAAGAGGGTGATGTGCCGTGAAATTTTGGTGTTTAGTGAGAAGAGGAGAGGATCCTCTCGCGTTTAAGTATGGTCTTTCTTATTTGGCCATAAAAGAAGTTATAGGCTCTTTTACCGTATGTTTGGTACGAGAAAATTGAAGGGAGAGGGGTTTTTTTTTTTTTTTTAACGCGTTGGATTTAAAAAATTAAAAAAATTATAAAATTTTGATGAAAAGAAAATATAAGATAAAAGGGCAAGTTAAATTAACTTAAAGTTTTTAATCTCATTTTTCTTTTTTTTAAATTGAGTTCATTAATTTTTTTTCTTTTTTTTTTTCTGCTTCTCTCGTGCCAAACAAACGTTGATTAAAATTTGGTGCCTAATTGTTATCTCTTAGTTCAGTAATGGTGATTAGTTTTTAAATTAAGTTTCTTTCCCTAATTGTTATCTCGTTTATTTATATCATTTAATAAAAAATAATGAAGTCCAGGTTAGGAATTGATGGCCCCGCAAATTTTCAGGTATCACAAAAGCTTATCTGAAAAAATGGTTTCAATGCTCATTGTTGTAGTGATGAGTAAGGGTTTGGATTTATTCCTTGATCCTTATTATAAGACTTCATTTGACTTTTTATTTGGTTCTAATTATAAGATTTCAATTCATTTTGTCTCTTATATTTATGTATTTTTTTTAAAGATAATCTTTCTAAATAATAGTTTTAGTCAATATACTTAATTAGTAGTGATGAGTAAGGGTTTGGATTGTATTCCTTCGATCCTTATTATAAGACTTCATTTGACTTTTTATTTGGTTCTAATTATAAGATTCAATTCATTTTGTCTCTTATATTTATGTATTTTTTTTAAAGATAATCTTTTAATAATAATAGTTTTAGTCAATATACTTAATTAGCAAAGATATTTTAGAAATGACAAAATTATTTATTATAAATAATCAACTAACTTACTTCTTTAATCTCTTAAATAAGTCAATTGGGTCTTATAATTAGGACTGGAGGAGTACATGTTAAAACTGGATGGTCAATGCATAATATTATTTTATTTTCATATTTTTGGTATCTTGTTAGTTTAATATATGTTTTTAACTTTTGCTATTAAAAGAACAAATGTCATTTAAATTGAAAAATTTTAAATTGAAGTTGTTTGCATGAATACCTTCCCCCTTCCTCATTTGACGATGGATTTTTCAATTTTTTTATTTTGTGTAATAATTAACCTATTTGTATATTTGCTAATCTATTTTTTTTTAAAAAAAAGTTATGTATAAACATATAATTTGCCTTTTTATGGGAGACATATTGTGAGGGCAAGCTGCAAGGTGTGGCAACAAAGATGTTGCTGCCCCTTCAAATCTTCTAATGTTGATCCACGTGGCATGCTTCTTTTAGGTGTTGTCACTGGCTTTCGCTATGTTATGGATTCTTTGCCTTCGATCAGAGCTCTCGGCTAATTTCTAGTATTTAGTTGTATAATAGAAGAAATCCAGAAATACGACCAGACCAGTCGACCACTGTGATACTTATTAAATCCTGAAAATTTATCTTTCTTTCTTCATTTTTTAAAATTATTTTTTAATACAACATTACACGGTCAAGTACAAGTTTAAGTACAAGAAAACAATTTGATTATTGGGTTGTGTATCCCCTGAAAGTTCTTGAATCTCCGGATCACAATGCAGGGTAAAAAAAAACGTAAGGAGGCTCGACTGAGCAGGAGTACGTGAGCACTACTATGAAACGAATCAAGAGATCAATTAAGAACATTTTAAGGGCAAATTAACATTCTCTTATAGTCACTATAATTATCAAATCTAAAGGAATCATTTAGTCACTATTAACTACTACCTTTACCTTTTTGATGTTGGTCATTATTATAGACCACCTTATTGTATGATTTTTGTTTGGTCCTAATTATAAGATGCCCAATCCTCTAGTATCTAATATATATTAGTATGTTTTTTTATGACATTTTTTTCAAGATTATATCCTTCTAATAATGATAGTTCTAGGGGAGGTTTCTGAACCATTATTTATACAAAATTAGTTTTAAGGATGTGTTAGAATGACAAACATTTTAATTTCTTCATTTGTAACTGACTTTGTTATTCTTACTCTCCTTAATTTCTCCTCAAATAAGTCAAACTGGATTTTATAATTAGGAGCGGAGGTAGTACTACCTCTGGTCCCACTATAAAATATTGTTTGTAATTTATAAATAAAATTTTATGATTAGGAACCGAACTAATACGAAAGAGACACAGAATTGACTGCCTCTTGAAGAGCGAAGACCATGCAAATATCCCCTCCTATTTTAAATAATAAAATATTTAATCAAACCGACCTGACTAGAACATCATTTGCTTTTGTTACAGTGGAAATCGCTCGGCTGACTTTGATTCCGGGAGGAAAAAGCGTTTGCTTGCCCTAATTTACCTCGTGGACCCAAAGTCAAACCGGTAAAAAGCCTCTCCAGACGGTCGGAAACTCCCTCCTGAGATTCTCTAAATCTGACACAGATTTAAGCTTCTTTATCTATTCCAGATCCAACTTCTTACACCCTCAAATACATCAGCGACTCGTGCCCCTCACTTATGGCTGCACGCTGACATATAACCCTCCAAGTTTCTTCTTCAATGGCGCGTTCTTCAAAAGGCAAGTTCTTTGTGCTTATTTTCTTGTTCTTTTTATCATCTCTACACGCTTCTACTGTCCTTGTAAAATCTGAATCTTGTTCAATACAATCCGAACATGACCACCATCCACGCCATGATGCTATTTCTGAACCTGAAACCAAAAATAATCCGAATCAAGAGATTTTGCTGAACAAGCTGGAGGAGCTAGTGAGAAATCTTAGTGATATAGTGTCCAGATTAGAATCAAAGCCGCCGGATCTCTCAAAGGTGGTTCTCGAGGACGAGAGATCGGCGCTGGAGGGGCAGGGAGCGTCTATCGAAAGAAAGTATGAGAATAAAGATCAAATAAAAAGGCTGAAGATGGGGAGTATGAGGGCAAAATTCGAGATGCAGAGAGAGCTCGAGGGGTTTCTGTAACGAAGTACTCTCCGTTTTGGTCAGAGAGGTTTCATTTTGTATCGACTGTGAAATTAGATTCAGATGCAACCTGTATAAATGTTCTGCCATTTCGGGACTATGAGGGTCTGAGTAAGTACGTAGCTGTTGGGGATGAGAGAGGAAGAGTCTACGTATTCTTGAGAAACGGAGATGTTTTGCTGGAGTTCTACACCTCTATGGCCTCCCCCATTACGGCAATGGTTTCCTACACATCTGCTCGCAAAAATGAGAGTGTCGTCGTAACAGGACACAGGAATGGCGCAATCTTGATCCATCGAATTTGGGAGGGGTCGAGTGGAGAAGATTGGAGTTCTCTTTACATGGAAAATGTTGGTAAAATGGCGTCACCAGAAAGCGAGGAGGTCGGACGGCCTATAGCGATCTTGGAAGTTCATTATGTTGGAAGGATGAAATACATTTTATCTACTGATAGTAGTGGGAAGATTAAGGTTTTCAGGGAAAATGGTACATTTCATGGTTCTGTCATGCCATCAAGTAAGCCGCCGCTAGCATTCTTGAAGCAAAGGCTTTTGTTTTTGACTGAAACTGGTGCGGGGTCATTGGATTTGAAGGGCATGAGAGTTAGAGAATCTGAATGCGAAGGGTTAAACCGTTCCCTTGCTCGAAGTTATGTTTTTGATGCCACAGAGCGTTCTAAAGCATATGGGTTTACCTCAGAAGGTGATCTGGTTTATGTTCTGTTGCTCGGAGATGTAATGAACTTCAAATGCAGGGTTAGATACAAGAGGAAGTTTGACATGGAGGAACCTCTGGCTTTCCAGGCTATTAAGGGGTACATGCTAGTCGTTAGCCCGGAAAAAGTTTTCGTGTATAATGTTTCATCTCAGCATTATGTGAGGGTCGGTGTGCCTCGGTTTCTTTTCTCGACAAGTCTTGATGAGATCAGATCATCATTTTTGAACTATCCAACCTCGAGTTCGGATTCTAGAAGAGTATAGCGATCTTGGAAGTTCATTATGTTGGAAGGATGAATACATTTTATCTACTGATAGTAGTGGGAAGATTAAGGTTTTCAGGGAAAATGGTACATTTCATGGTTCTGTCATGCCATCAAGTAAGCCGCTAGCATTCTTGAAGCAAAGGCTTTTGTTTTTGACTGAAACTGGTGCGGGGTCATTGGATTTGAAGGGCATGAGAGTTAGAGAATCTGAATGCGAAGGGTTAAACCGTTCCCTTGCTCGAAGTTATGTTTTTGATGCCACAGAGCGTTCTAAAGCATATGGGTTACCTCAGAAGGGTGATCTGGTTTATGTTCTGTTGCTCGGAGATGTAATGAACTTCAAATGCAGGGTAGATACAAGAGGAAGTTTGACATGGAGGAACCTCTGGCTTTCCAGGCTATTAAGGGGTACATGCTAGTCGTTAGCCCGGAAAAGTTTTCGTGTATAATGTTTCATCTCAGCATTATGTGAGGGTCGGTGTGCCTCGGTTTCTTTTCTCGACAAGTCTTGATGAGATCAGATCATCATTTTTGAACTATCCAACCTCGAGTTCGGATTCTAGAAGAGTGATACCTTTGATCGCTAGTGACCGTGAAAAGCTTGTCATCATCGGCCTTGGAGGTGGGTATGTTGGAATGTATTATTCTAATCTTCCTCTATACAAAGCGGAATTCAATACCATATTCTGGACTAGCCCAGTATTGTTCTTCATACTGTTTCTGTTTGGGGCGTGGCATTTTTTTGCAAAGAAGAAGGAAGCACTTACTTCTTGGGGGCCAGATGACCCATTTACCTCCACATCGGCTACAACTAATGCTCCAACCTTAGTATCAGGCTCTGGAGACAGATCCTTTGTAGACTCCTCAAGAAATACAGAAGTGATGGAACTTAGAAGCGGTGGTCTCAGGGGTCCGACAAGAAGATACGGCTCTCCTACAAGAT